TATGAACTCTGATTGTTATCTTCCAAATGATCTACTTTTTGTTTTTTCTTTTCTGCCTCCACAATATCTTCCATAACTGACATAATAGAAACCTCTACATTATATTGATTTTCCCCACCAGAATTTTCAAAACTTTAGGAATATCAATATATTCCAAGCATCTGATAAGTAAAACAACATCAATTAAAGCAGTACCAGCATTTGTCAAAGGATCCAAATCAACCAAATCAGCAAAAGGTTTCACCATCAACCCAAAAGCCTCTTTACTCCATAAATGAGGAGGAACCCCTTTCAGTTTAATCCAAACCTGAGAATTTCTCTTTTCAACAACATTCCCTTCCCATGCATTCCATCTCCGGAGTTTAATTTTACAAGAACGAAGAGTAATAACTCCCATCTTTATCAAATCCTCCATTTGTTTCCATGGTTGAATTCTAACCAACATTTCTCCATTAGTAAAAAGTCTAACATCCCAGTATTTATTCATAGGAAAAAGAGTTCTCAAATCTAATTCCAACCTTTCTACAGAAATATTTCCTCCCTCAACAAACGAAACCACAGCAAAGTTTCTAAATTTTTGAAAATCAGAGTTAACCTCTCCTTCAAACTTAAGAATAGCAGTAGAGAAACGAGGACGCTCACCAGAAATTTTCAATTCTGCCTCAAGATCTCCAAAATCTCTTGGTCCCTGATCTTGAAATTTGGAACAAATTTCTTGAATATTTTCTTCCTCTACCACCGATAAGGATCTTTTGCATTTATCCTGTTTTTGCACTGGATCTTGAATTCTTGATGTTGAAAATGTAGAAGCTACTCTCTCTCGCCGCCGCAAAAGGTTTCACCATCAACCCAAAAGCCTCTTTACTCCATAAATGAGGAGGAACCCCTTTCAGTTTAATCCAAACCTGAGAATTTCTCTTTTCAACAACATTCCCTTCCCATGCATTCCATCTCCGGAGTTTAATTTTACAAGAACGAAGAGTAATAACTCCCATCTTTATCAAATCCTCCATTTGTTTCCATGGTTGAATTCTAACCAACATTTCTCCATTAGTAAAAAGTCTAACATCCCAGTATTTATTCATAGGAAAAAGAGTTCTCAAATCTAATTCCAACCTTTCTACAGAAATATTTCCTCCCTCAACAAACGAAACCACAGCAAAGTTTCTAAATTTTTGAAAATCAGAGTTAACCTCTCCTTCAAACTTAAGAATAGCAGTAGAGAAACGAGGACGCTCACCAGAAATTTTCAATTCTGCCTCAAGATCTCCAAAATCTCTTGGTCCCTGATCTTGAAATTTGGAACAAATTTCTTGAATATTTTCTTCCTCTACCACCGATAAGGATCTTTTGCATTTATCCTGTTTTTGCACTGGATCTTGAATTCTTGATGTTGAAAATGTAGAAGCTACTCTCTCTCGCCGCCATTGCCATGGATTTGCTCGACCAGCACCACCGCCTCTAGGATTTTGCCCAGATCTGCCTTCAGAACCAAGATTGACTCCCCCATCTCTAGGATTTGATCGACCACCACCCCCTCTAGGGTTTTGAGTACCTCCAAATCCTCGGCCTCTCCCCATAACTTTGGTACAATTCCTAGCTTCATGCCCTAACTCTTGACATCGAAAGCAAACCATTGGATCTCTACAATTTCTCGCCATATGCTTCGATCCTCCACAACGAAAACAAAGTCGATTCTTTCTGATGATCTCCGCAGAGAGAACACGAGAATGAGAGGAGTTTTTTGTTTGAGGCGGCGATCTAGGGTTTCTTTTTTTAACTACCTTTACCCATTCTCTCATCTCACTTTTGTGTGCAATTCTATTTCATTTGACATTTTCTCTCTCTTCACTTTACCTCACACCACATTACCTTCCTCTCCAAAACCCTCTACCAAAGAGAGATTCTAACATTGTCATTCATCTTATTAGAAAAAGCTCACCGTCGGCATATTAACAACATATCATAATCTATTAAATTTACCAAGATTTATCAAACACTTTGACTTATAATATATTTGTGGATTATTAGTCAAGTGAATTATTATTTGGAGGTTGCCAAACAAACTTGTATCAGATAGACTCATCCTTTGGAGGAGTTATACAAGATGACGCGTAGCAACACAAAGGCACAAGCCGAACCGAAATCCTCTCCTCACCTCCATACCCTTTTGACTGATCATGGGTGTTTTTATTTAGGAAGCAATGATTGCTCACAAGATGAGTGGAAGATGGCCGAAGCGGTTGTCGATTTAATATTAAAAAAAAAAATTTAAAACAATGGGTTTCAAAATGAATAAGCTGCACAAAATTAAAAAGTAAAAAAAAAAATATTAATTTACTCTCTCTTCACCTTCCACTTTATATAGTAACATTGGCAACTATGGAGCACGATATTATCTGACAAAATTTACACGAGAACAAAAGATTACATTTATCTTTGAAAAGGAAAAAAAGAAATACAAAGAGAAATACGCCCTTTAGAACTTTTGAGGAGGAAATAGATGCGTCTGAAATAAGTCCAGGTTCATGTCCAATCATCACTTCCACGTTAAACAATATGGTATTCAGTGACTGGAGACAAAACTTTTGCAATGTTTTCCCAGTCTTCATCAGATCCTTTGCCTGCCATCAGAATCTTTGCTTTTCTCGAAATTATGGCGAGAGCTCCTCCAATCACGCTATAAAGTCCATAAAATTATTAATTTGATATCTTTAGGGGCTGTTTGGTTGCACACTTTTTAAGAAAATTTTTCTTAAAATATCTGAAAATATCAATTTTATAATTAAAAGTTTTCTATAGATTTCTGTAAATTGTGTTTGGTTCAACAAAAAATTTATAAAAATATTTTCTATAAAATATCAAAAACTATCAAATTTTACAAAAAGCAATTTTCTCTCAAAATGAGAGGACATCAACAGAAATCTGACACCTTCCTTATTTAATCAACAAAACCCATCCCATACCCATTTTCTATAAAGTTATGAGCTATTTTCTTGTTTTGAACCAAACAAGCAAAGTAAAAAAAATAAGAAACATGGTACTTTTTGACTTCTTAAAACTTTTCCTATAATTTTTTAAAGAAATACAAGGAAATCATATTTTGGGTGGAAAACATTTCCTATAATTTCTAGAAATTGAACCAAACACCCCCTTAGAATATACAAAACATTTATAAACAAAATAATTTTATGTTATTTAGTACGTTTTTAATTAGAATTATTAAATTAGGATCAAATTAGACATCTCTACACTAAGTTGTGAATGCTAAAGATGGGTAACGAGGCTCTGATACCACTTAGTGGATCTGAGATGCAAGCCTAGAGGGAGGTGAATAGGATTGCTACAGCTTTTCGTCAAAATACAGAATATGCATTGGAAAAAAAAAATCAAACAAAAGCGATAAATAAAATAACAATCACCAAAAGTAACCAACCAAGAAAGCACGAGATTTTATAATGGTTCAGATAAACAACCATACGTCCACTCTTCTTTCTCATGAACAGACTTCCTCACTATGATAAGAATTTACTTGAATCAAAACCTAATTCAGTAGGCTTACAAGATTGCATCCTAGTATTTACTCGAAACCACTCATCTAACCTAACTCCCACAAAAAGTAACTCCTAATCCTAACTAGCCCTAACCCTCAATTCAACCAATTTGAGAACACCGTAAAAGAAATTCAAAGTAAAACCAAACACAAAATAGTTAAGCTCATAATAAAAACAATCTTATAGCGCTTTCGATAAAGCAAACCATCCCTCGAAGGTGATAATTGAGGAAGAATTATTGAGCAAGAAGGCTTGATTGTATTCCTTCATTAACAATGAATATATACAAGTTATATTGTACAAATATGGCAAGGAATAATATATTTTTTTCCAGCATATTCTCCATCTTAATAAGGTGTATAATCTCCTATACAAGGTATGAATATAATATACATATAAACGTAATATCCAACAATATATTCCTAATATATTCCTAACACCCCTCGTCAAACTTATGGTGGATCAAACACCGAGAGTTTGGAAAGTAGAAATTTGTGACGCTTGGAAGTGTGAGCTTTGGTGAAAAAAATCAGTAAGCTGGAGCTCAGAAGACACATATGATAGAGAGATCACCTTAGTCTTTGAAAAGTGATACCGTATGAAATGACAATCAATCTCAATGTGTTTTGTGCGCTCATGAAACACTAGATTGGTAGCAATTTTTATTGCACTTTGATTGTCGCAATAGAGAGGAGTCGGGGAGAGACAATCAATGCCCGTGTCACATAGAAGCTATCGCAACCAAATAATCTCAGAGGTAGTATTAGACATAGCTCGATACTCCCTTCGGCACTAGATTTTGAGAAGACATCTTGCTTCTTAGTTCACCATGATATTAGGGTATCACCAAGAAATACACAAAAACCAGTAATAGATCGACGATCTCTAATGTCACCGGCCCAGTTGGAGTCAGTGAACGCACGAAGTTGTAGGTTTGATGTTGAGGAAAACAAAAGAGCTCTAGATGAAGTGTCACGAAGATAGCGTAGAATACGAAGTACAGCAACATAGTGAATTGAGGTAGGAGATTGAACAAATTGACTCACCACATGAACAACAAAAGCAATATCTGGTCGAGAAATAGTGAGATACACCAAAGCACCAACAATTTCACGATATCGAGTGGGATTTTCCAAGAGTTCTCCTGTATCAGGTGCTAGTTTTTTATGGAGCTGAATAGGTGTGTCGGCGATCTGATCACCAGTCAACTCAGCTCGAGCCAAAAGATCAGAAATGTATTTTTGTTGAGAAAGAAGATATCCTCGTGGCCCATATGCAACTTCGAGTCCCAGAAAATATCAAAGATGCCCTAGATCTTTCATCTCAACTTTTTGATGTAGAGAAGTCTTCATAGTATTCAAAAATAAAGGATCACTGCCAGTAATGACCATATCATCAACATAAAGCAGAAGAATAGTGTGTCCTCGACTAGAGGTATGAACAAACATTGCATGATCGGCCTCACTCTTAATAAAGCCCATATTAAGTACTGTAGAGCTAAATTTTTCAAACTAGGCTCGAGGAGCTTGTTTTAGACCATATAATGCACATCGAAGATGACAAACTTGACCCGATAAATGAGGAAGACCTGGAGGAGGTTGCATATAAACTTCTTCGTGAAGATCACCATGAAGAAAAGTGTTCTTCACATCAAGATGATAGAGAGACCACTGTTGAGCAGCAACAATAGCAATAAGAGCTCGAATTGATGTCATCTTAGTCACAGGAGAAAAAGTCTCCTCATAATTAATCCCATATTCTTGGGTAAAGCCTCGAGCAACTAGACGAGCCTTGTACCGATCTATTGTACAATCTGAACAAGTTTTAATTTTGTAAACCCATTTGCAACTAATTAGGACTTTGCATGGAGGTAATGAGACAAGATCTTAGGTATCAGTCTTTTGAAGGGCGGTTAACTCTTCTTCCATAGCTGCTCGCCACTCAGGAGAAGAAGCAGCATGACGATAAGATGTAGGCTCATGATGCCAATGAATGGCTGTCAAGATGGTATGAAAACTAGAAGTAAAAGATGAAGAAAGACAACCAAAAAATTGTTTTGCCTTATGAATACGGAGAGGATAGCGACAATCAGCTAGTGAAGAATCATCATACGAGGTCGAGATTGAATGGTCAACAGGTGAGACTGGAACATGTACACTTTGGTGATCATCAGAGGATGGAGATGAAGATGATGAATCTACTAGAATCGAAGGTGTGGTAAGCTCAATAAATGAAAGATCAACGGAAGTATGTAATGTATTATTGTCATTGAGGGACTGTCTAGAGTAATATAAAATATGCTCCAAAAAACTCACATCTCGAGAAATGTGAAGTCTCTTTTTAATTGGATCATAACAGCGATATCCTTTGTGCTCAAGACTGTATCCAAGAAAAATACAAATCGCAGAACGAGGATATAACTTATCTCTTTCATGAGATGGTAATAGAACTAGACAAGTACAGCCAAACACACGAAGATGTCAATAAGAGGGACGACAGGATGTTAATTTTTCAAATAGTGATATGCCATAAAGAACTGAAAGAGGGCATCAAATTGATGAGATACACAGCTGTAGCAACAACATCAGCCCAAAATTGTTTAGGCATGGAGCTAGAAATGAGTAGTGATCTTGTAGTCTCCATAATATGACGGTGTTTTCTTACCGAGACACCATTTTGCTGATGTGCATGTCACGCCCCGCTTCCCAAAATACCCGGGAATCGGAACGTGAACAAGCCCGCGACGTATTAGATCAAGGAGAATAAATATATTTCTCCTCAACCTAATACGCTAAGCGTCTAGAAATAAATACAATACGAAGTCTCAGGTCCCCGATCACAATCAGTAAGAACATAATAAACAAACTCAGAATAAAAAATATCATATCACAAATGGGATAACATCCGAGACATAAAAACATGGGTCAAACATGCCCTTATACAAAAACTAAACAATAAATACTGAAGAAATACAAAATACATTGTTCAAGCAGGAATGGAAAGAACTACAAAAGTAACTAGAACCATCAACTAATAACTTCAAAGAATAGGCTTCAACTCCTTCTTCTGCTCCGTCTACAAGACACTCCTGCTGAGAATCCTCTGGCTCCTGATGATCTTCTAGCTGAACCTGTTCTTCCTCTAAGTCTGACGTACACCAGAAAAAACAGGTGTACGTCAGCGTGCATGACACACGACAAGACCCCATAAACAAATAGAACAACGAAAACCAAAATGGAAAAAGATACGATAACAGGATGACAAAAGAACGTGCAACAGGAAATCCGACAAAATCAACAAGCAAAAACACTACTAAAACATGATAAACACAAAGCATCCAAAATTGATTAGGTAACGAGATCATGCAGCTAGTGATCAGTCTAATCATCCAAGTAACAATGTTATACAACTAGATAAAATTAATACTTAAAAATCTACAATTCGAGACGTAGTACGTCTAGCGAAATAATCCAAACAAGGAAACCCTCATGTATATGTAGGCATCGAAAATTACCTATAGGTCTCCACAAACAGCTTAGTGTTAAAGAACGACGATAAACGTCACTATCCGGTTCACAGAAGCTCGATTGACATTGGCAAATGCTTGAAGTGAATCAACGAACTACGTGAAGCGTCGGAGTTTCAAAATAACGAGGATATGAATTGATCGAGAGCCCCGCGTCGCCTACAAAAGGTGCCACGCCCCTCGTGTCCCAGTTGATTCCACAGATGATCTAATCATTGGAGCTTATAGAACTCCTCGTCGACTTTCCAACGCACTTGGAATCACTCAAATCCGAGTTCGGACGAAGAATTTACAGTGGAAGCGGACAAATAGGCATAACGGAGTGTCTCGGCCCAGTTTGAGACACCCTAGGATGTCCGCACAAGTTGGAGACACCCCAGGGTGTCCGCACAAGTTGGAGACACCCCAGGGTGTCCGCACAAGTTGGAGACACCCCAGGGTGTCCACACAAGTTGGAGACACCCAAAGGTATCTCAGAACTTGTGAAGCTGTTCTGACCATGATCCCGTTAGAATCTGAAGAAACTTAAAACATGAAAGTTGTAGCTCTCTTTGTCAGCTTTCCAATACATCTTGAATCATTCAAATCCGAGTTCAGATGAGAGAATTAGAGCTAAAATACTGAAGAGGGTACAAACTGTCTCGGATTTTGGGAGACACCCTAGGGTGTCTCGGATTTTGTGAGACACCCTAGGGTGTCTCCAACGCGGATTTGGGCCCTTTAGGTGGTTTTAATCGCTCCGCAACCCCTCAAGCCTATAAATACAAGCCCCAGGCCCTCATTTTTTCAGAACTGAAGTTTTGGAGAATTGGCGAAGCCCTGCCGGAGTGAAGAGTGATCGAGCACTTCAACGCAAGAGAGTTTCTTCGTCAGATCTACATCACCCGTACCCGATCCTTAGTATTATCCCGTTGTAGTAATACTAAGAAGAGCAAATATCTCACTTTTATCGAGATAGGCGCTTCAAGTTTCTAGATCTCCTCGCGGATCGACGAAGCTCTGGATCAGATCTGATTGCCAGGTAGTCCACGGATATCGACGTCCCCGTCACAGGCTAAAGACCCACGCAAGCAAGAGACGACGAACGGATCTTGTGTTTATTTTCAAGAAAGTTGTAATTTTTATTTATTTATTTCTTTGTTGTTTGAATTCATTTGTAACATTTGAAGTTTAATAAAATCAATGATGAAGGCAACTTTCGACGAAAACAGTATATACCATATGTCTTAAATTGTAAAAAATTAAATATTAATCCCGATCTAGGTATGAAAAATATAACTGGCCTATATCTCACAAGAATCCATAAACATCTAAGTAACAAGGTCATGTAACTAGCCATCCTATAATAAGCCACTGGTCCAAATCTCACTTATGCGTGCAATGATATCCCTGCTCCTCAGACCCACCCCAGAGTAAAACGATCCACTGGTGCGAGCCTGGAAAATAACCAACATCCACGATATACAATCATGATATCATTGCTCCTCAGACCCACCCCAGAGTGAAACGATCCACTGGTGCGAGCCTGGAAAATAAATAACATCCACGATATACAATCACGATATCACTGCTCCTCAGACCCACCCCATAGTGAAACGATCCACTGGTGCGAGCCTGAAAAATAAACAACATCCACGATATACAATCACGATATCACTGCTCCTCAGACCCATCCCAGAGTGAAACGATCCACTGGTGCGAGCCTGGAAAATACATAAACATCCACATCCGATCACATGAACCAAGAATTCTCCATCCTAACTCTTCCCGTTTTTCTAAATCAATCATAATCCTCACTGAAACTCGGGTTCACCGCCTAAACTCAGTCAATACACCCACACATGTCACTAGGTTTGTTCATGACGTACGAGGCCACTAAGTCATGAACTACTAAGGTTCTCAAACACATCAAGGAGATAATAAATGAATACAACCAATCATGTGCAACGAAAATCATGTCATATCGAATATACTAAAATAAAGATCATAAGATATGAATAGTAACTACGAATAATACAGAAAGTATGAACAGCATAATCATGCATGAAAACCAATTTCATCCAATAAATCTTTTTAAAATTGTTTCTCATTATATTAATTCAGAACTATCTTTAAAAATCATAAATTTATTCATTTAAAAAATAATCTTTTTATAAAATAACTCTTTTAAATTATTATTCAAAAATAATCCCTTTTACACAAAGTAAATCCTTTTCTCATTACTATAATAACTCTAAAATAACTTTTAAAATATTCTTTTTGTTAATATTTTTTCCTTTATAAATAATTTCTATTTTTCTTTTTCAATAATATCTCATAAATTTTATCCAGCTTTCAAAATACAAACTTGTTATGTTATATTCATCAATTCACAAATAACCTACCATAATAATACTTAATATCATTCATCAACAAATCTACGCATGATATCACAATATTCATACTACTACATAATTAAATTACAATCTAGCCCAAGCATATAATCAATTCATAATATGTCTAAAAATTGAAACGACGAGTCAAATAGAATATCGGGATCTTGCCTCGGGTTTTTGTCGAACGAATCAACGTCGACGGCACGGTTAGGATCCGACGTGGGGGCACGGCATCGGGAAGAGCTCCGGCGAGGGGCTGCGGTGACGGGACAGTGGCGAACTCGGTCGGCGTCGGCGGAATGCACATAGCATAAGAACACATAGTTCTATTACTCTACTCAAGCTCAAGTTCATCAACTGACTTGATCGTCGGAGGTACCACGGGGGAATCATCACCCCGCCCTCTCACGACTTCTTCTGTGCAGATCGCAAACTCTAACTCGGTGGCTAGACATAAAGTCGGGAAAGGAAGAGATCCCCTTCATCATCCTTCATCACCCCGCAAGCATCCTCTTCTGGATTAATAGTCTGTGTGACATCGAACATCAATAAAACTTAAATTACTTTTGTATTCACCCAAAAGAAAATTGGGGTCCATGGCTATTCATTATTTTTCTTGACAATTTTCAAGAAAGGACCCCACATATTTGTTACTGCTTGTATAAAACTTATAGTACAATTATCGTTTTCCTCTTTTTTTATCTTCGGATGGATTAGACCAATGCAAATTAATTATGTTCGAGAAAATGGTGATACTATTGGGCTATGTAAAAGAAGATGAAATTAGAGGTGTGGCTCAATGCACGAGGCTTCCATCGTTATGAGCACTGAGGATCGTCAGATGTATGTTGCATTCTCCTCATATGGAAAAAACTGTTTCAAAGATTTGAAGTCATGATCCCAGGACACAAAGAGGCAACTTTACTATTGTGCCAAGACTCACACACAAATTTTCTAAAATAATTTACATTTCTTGCACAGAATAAATCATAATGGTAATCTTGAGATAAAAGATATGCTTCAATGCAGTTTGATTAAGGTTAATTTCACAAAACCCTTGAACTTTGGGCGGTTTCTAACATAACATCTTTAAACATTTTTTAACTCACAAAGATATCCGTGAACTTCTTTTTATCTCACATAAAATCCCTGAACATTTGAGTATCTCACAATACCCAATTTCATATGATTGGAATTTGTGAATAATTAATAATTCCCTGAGTGAGAAAAAAAATTTAAATTTAAGGGAGGGATTGTATTGTCTATAAATGACAAATGACAAAATTTTTAGATTTTTTTTTCTCAAGGAAATTTTATAAATTACATGTAGGGGGTCTAGTAGGAAAATGTCAAAGTTCAAGTAGTTTGTGAGACGTCCTAAAGTTGAGGGGATTACATGAGACAAACAAAGTTTAGGGTCCTATGTCAAACACCCCCACAAAGTTTCAGAAAGGATATTTATTGGAAAACCCATTTGATTATTACAAAATTCATACCCAAACCCTCAAATTTTCACATTAAACAGGATGGGACTCGGTACTTGAAGATAAAGTTTTTGCATTTTCTTTGTGGTCTTCATCAGAGTCTTTGCTTTTCCCCCATAGCACTGTGTAAAGTCCCAAAATTATGACAAGAGCCCCAATCAAGCTATATAGAAAGCCATAAGATTGTCAATTCAAGGTTATCAGAATATATTAAGCATGTCTAAATAAAGTATTGCTGCTCACCTGCCCAAATGAAGTCTTTCAGCAAAAAACAAGACAGAGAAGAGTCCAACTACAACAAGCAGCACTGGACTGAACATAGCAGCAAAGACCGGCCCTTTCTTGCTAATACAAAATGTTTGCAAGTAATATGCAAGGCAAGATATCACGATTCCCTGCATAAAAAAAATACAACTTATAATGAAATATTTAAGGACCAATAAGGTTTCCTAAGTAATGAGAGAAGGAATTTACATACAGAATATACAATTGTTAGAAGCTGAATGTTCCAATCTAATTTCCATGAGGACGTATTCCTATCAAATATAAGCGCGAGTGCTGAAGACTGAAGTGATGCAAAGAAGCAGATCAAGGTGTTTGTCGATAATCTTGCAGGATAAACCTCATAAACCATTGCCTGTAGAAAAATTATTGTAGTTAATAAGATTGCATCCAAAAAGTTAAATTGTTCATTTTAATGATCCTAACATTTGTTTGGTTAAACTGTGTAATCGGGACATATTGGATCAGTTTGCAACTGTTTATTTCATCTGCAACTGATAAATGCAGCTATAACTGAAGTTGTAAATAAATAAATAAAAACCACCAACTAACGTCAACACAGCTCATACAGATTTTGACATGAGTAATCGTTGTAGCCTCATATAGTCTCGTTGTTTCGATCCTTCCGGTTTAATTTTCTGCAGATAGACCTCCTCTTTTTTATTTTATTTTATTTTATTTTGGGGGTACTCTTTCACCCTTTCACCCTTTAAGAAAGAGCAAATTGTTTTTGACAAGTACACACATCATCTTTAGTAACTTTTACAACTAAGGGCTGTTTGGTTACCTATTTTTGAGGGAAATGCTCTTTTGAAAGCCTGTCAAAAGTGTCACTTTTTGGTAGGCTTTCAGCCAAAATCACCTATAAAAAAGAAGATTTTGACTGAAAGCCTGCCAAAAAGTGATACTTTTGGCACTTTTGACAGGCTTTCAAGAGAGCTTTTCCCTCAAAAACAGGGAATCAAACAGCCCCTAAAGGCCGATGTATAATATAATGTTCAGAAATATGATAGCAACACATTAAAGAAGACTAACCTGAAGAATGAGCCATGCACTAAATGCAACATGGCTGGTTAGTATAAGAACTGAACCTTTGATCCAATCGTCTTTATAATGTTTTGACCCATGGCCAGAATTTTTTCCTTGAACTGTAATCAAAGGCCTCTTAACAAATCCAGGGAGGAGAGGGCCTTGCCAAAAAGTAAATAAAAGAGCTCCAGTAATACAAACTAAAGCTCCTATTATCTTTGCCCTCCCCTTCGCTTTCTTAATCTTTATCTCCTCCATCCTGGTAAGAAGAAAAACTATGGCAATCACCAAACCAATTTCAATAAATTTATGTGCGCACATACACATTGGCATTGGAGTGTGCTTATTCCTTTGTAACTCAAATTTCAAATTTCAACCCTGAATTATTTGTGTTTGAACTGTTTTTTGACATATTTGTGTACGTGAGTTCACCTTAAGAAAACTGCCAGAGTGAAAGTAAGAGCAGGAATAACGCTACCCATGGCACCTGCCACTGTTGGAGATGTGCAATCAAGCCCTGCATAATACACATTCTGGTGTATCGTCGTCCCAAACAACGCGAGGTTGAAGATCTTGAAGAGTATGGACAACGAGAGTTTTGTTCTCTGTTTTCTACACGAATTAACTCTGAAACATGTAAATAGCTCAAAATATCTGTCTACACTTTGTATAAGCTTAATTGCGCTTTGATATACTAAAGTTTCACCTGATATGAACTTTGATATCCCGAGCTTTATTTTTCCCATCTAATACCCCTAACGTTCACCCAATTTGAACTTTGATACCCAGAGTTTATTTTTACCCATTTAATAATTAACACCCCCATATTTTCAGGTTTTTTTACTTTTCTGTTGAATTGAGATCATGCGGTTAACATGTAATCTGATTTGGACTTTTAGACTCATCTAGTCATTATAAACGTACGCCCAAAAATTAGTGGGAAAGTTACTGTGTACATCCCTATACGGAGGATACCGAAGTTCAACTTTCAGGAACACTGAATTATCAAATGGGTAAAAATATAAAACTTTGGAGTATCAAATGGGCAAAGTTCATAATGGGCTAAACTTTGGGGCACCAGAATGCAATTAATTAAGCCTTTGGCATGAGAAAAACATTCGATCTAACTGCCTGACCTCTCAAGCACATAGGCAAGAGGACCCAAGATCGCCGTGGCGATGAGATGACGATACACGATGAAGACGAGGTAGCTGAGTCCTCGCTCCAAGGCGAGCTTCCCTAAAATGTTGGATCCACCATAAGCTAATTGGACTATGGTCATGCCCAAATAAGGTGCAACTGATTTCACGGAGCCCATCCTCTCCCAACCTGAAAGTGGATTCTTCCCCCTCTTTTAGTTTGTAGTTTATAGTTTATATGTCATGTAATCTTTTGTAGGTTTCTGGGGGTGCGTCACTGGCTGGCACTAATCAGCTGGTAGTGGAGTTCATATTCATTAAAGCAAGATTTGCCTACTTTCTGTTGGAAAGAGGATACGCTGTAAAAGAGGATACGCAAGTTTCAAGTTCTTACTACTCTTTTTTTTTTTGGTTAATTGCATGTAGGCCCTATGTACTGTAGCCCAATTGCATATAGACCCCCCTAGTTCTGTTCGTGCAGATAGACCGCCAGAGTGAACTTTCTTTGTATCCTTTTAAGAGTAAAAGAAAGATTCACTCAGGAGGACTTGGACAAATAGTATAGAGATCTATCCATACAAATAGGACTACATGGGTCTATATGCAAAGTGGGCGGTGGTAAGGGGACGTATCTGCAATTAACCTTTTTTTTTAAGCAACATGAGTAAGTTGTCAAGAAAATTCATTATCTCGTCTAGTCCTTAAGTTTATTTAAAATCCCTCATGATGATGTATATCTAATATGTACTTACAGGTTGAGCGCCCTCCTGATGACCCGTGCAACGACACGGTTTTTAAAATCTCTTTCACGTGAGAAGCTAGTCTATACAATTTATGGGTTATTTCTTTCCATACGCATTTGGCAGGAATTTTACAACTCTACATTAGAAAATGGGACGCGGCGAGTCTAAAATCATGGTATTATATGCACTGTTCGATTAGCACTTTTTCTACTATGAATTCGGGGTAGCCTCGTAAGAGATATGCATCAAATGTGATCCCCCAAAGGTACACTTACTCCGATAGAATATTTGATTCCATTCACTATAGTTAACAAAATTCACACACACAAAAAAAAAGGAAGACGATTGTATTTCAGACGTTGTGCAATCCTCTTTAATATTCATTACTCATTGCAAAAAGGTTAAAAAGAAGGGGGGGAAAAGAAAAAGAGATATTATGTATGAGTTTTTAAAAATTTCCCACATGCATCGACAGGATTAGAGATGCAATCAGCAAACCAAACAGCCGCAGCAGCCCAAATATGGGCCTTTTGGCCTAAACCCATTTCTAAACAGGCCGAATAAATCTTGAGATCCAATGAGCCCATCCCAAGAAAAACAAAACCACAACGTTTCGCTCAATTATAAAATCGATCAAAAGCTAGGGTTTCATTCCCTCCCTCTCTCTCTCTCCGATTTTTTGGCGGCAGCCTCGAGCGAGTGAGCGAGAGATCAGAGCGAAGATGAAGACGATCCTCTCCTCCCAAACAATGGACATCCCCGAGGGAGTCAAGGTTAAGGTCAACGCCAAGATCTTCGAAGTCGAGGGGCCCCGCGGTAAGCTCACCCGCAACTTCAAGCACCTTAACCTAGACTTCCAGATCCTCGACGGCGGCCGAAAGCTCCGGGTCGAGGCCTGGTTCGGATCGAGGAAGACGATGGCGGCGATCAGGACCGCGATCAGTCACGTGCAGAACCTCATCACCGGGGTCACAAAGGGGTACCGGTATAAGATGAGGTTCGTTTACGCTCACTTTCCTATCAATGCGAGCATTGGCGGTTCGAACTCGAGTATCGAGATCAGGAACTTTCTTGGCGAGAAAAAGGTCAGGGTTTCCGTTCTTTTCTCGTAATTATTTTTACTTTACAATTCTCATGTAAAATATTGGCATTTTGAGGGTCCCATTTATGCTTTGTTTGGGAGTTTGCTAACACCGTGTTTGGATGGGGATTAATGGATGGAAGTTCAATTTCAACTTGTTTGGGAGTTTTTTTGAGGGGTTATAGAGGATGGAAAATATCTGGGAGTATATCATTAATTTTAATGTTATTAGGGTATAATTGTCTTATCTCATTGTAAAATTTTACATTGGTTTTCATTCCATCCTCTACCCCAAATTGGAGGGGAGGAAAATGGAAGGAAATTTAACCTTCCATTCCATCCTCTAACCCCTTAAAAAACTCCAAAACAAGGTGAAATTGAAATTTCACTTCAACTTCCATCCATAAGCCTCCATCCAAACAAGGTGTTAGTGTATCTGATGAAGAGAGAGTTTGGTAACAAATATCTATATGTAGAAGGTTCTTAGATTAAGAGGGTATTTATGTATGAAATTGTCTTTTAAAGTAGGAAGATGCATGTGAATAATTGATACTTTAGGGTCCAATATGCAATTGACGTTGATTACATTTATCAAATTTAACTCAAGCTTGCAAGAATATATTTTTAAGTGTCATGTAATCAGAATATTTCGTTGTGCTTATTATTTTATAAATTTATAGATTTTACTTACAAAGTATATAGCCTATATAAAGTCTGAGTTTGTTGTTTTTAATCTATTGAGACCTTGTAAATTGGAAATCATACTATCAGCTAGTTGTTTTCTATTATAATCCGACATATGGATTGTGGTATCAAGCATGTCAATCTTTCAAACATCCAAACATTTAGACCTGTTATATATGTTTTTATATGTATATATGATTTATAGGTTCATGTATGGCATTAAAAATGCATCTGTTTTTCACCTTAGAAAAATATGGAGAAATGTAAAACGCTATCCCTCTTTGTTTGACACCTGTATACGCCAATTTTTTCTTAGTGGAAGTCTCCGATATATTATAGTTTTTCTGAAAATTTTAGGAACTTGTAACGATCTTGAAGAAAATTTATCCTAAGCACTATAATCATGAAATTACATGTAGAACATCTGTCAGACTCATATCTTTTAATGTCTCAATAGTCGTATAGTCACGCACGTGAGAGATTCTACCAAATATAACATCTACAGTGCTTCTAATTTATTTAGAGTGATATGAACGAATTTAGAAACTTAAAATGTCATTTGACAAATTCTGTCATAAAAGGACTTATGCTCTTAATCATCATAAGTTAGCTCAGTCACACACCTAAGTTAAATAAGCACGGTATAGATTGAACAAATTATTGGTTAACAATAAAGGTCAGTTAATTTGTGCTGATTCGTTAAGTTTATTAAACAAATGTTAATTAGTCATGATGTGTGAATGGCTTGCTCATGGAAGAGTCAAAGACCATCATGATATGATTTTTTTTTTTTTTTGAGAAGGCCAGTCTAAAAGTTTTCACAGTGAACTGAATCATGATCTGTTTGAACTTGGCATCTAGTCATGAGACCAGTTAATGGGCACCATCAAAATCGTGATCTGAGATATATGTTATAGAGTTACCTTATTTTGAAACAGTTATGTTCCATATTTCTAGTGTTACTTTTTAAGAGAAAATGAATGAAATAGAAAATTGAGCTGTGTTATTTCTAGCATTAGTCTGAAATAGTGATTCTCGAATCAAACTTCTGCTTTGTCTAATATAACCTTAGTTTTCAGCTCCGGATTCTTAAAAGACGTGCCAGGATCTAAACTCGCAGTCTAGCCATGTGTATTTTACTTGAATCCACTGGATAGTTAACCTTATAGAGCATCACTGCTTTCTAGTAACTTACTGCCATTTTCTACATAAAAATGTGCAAATAAATTTCTTTTTACCCCGTAGACCATGCTGGTAATATATGTATGATGTCCTCAGTTTGATAGATGGTATCAATAGTCCTTAAAATCGTGTTCGGTCCATCTATGTAGTTATATTGAATTTCTTTCATGTGGTACTTATTATTCTTCTCCTTTCTTATAGATGTGACTTGATATGAGAAACCAAAAATCTTAGAGGAATCCTTATATTTTCATCTTATATAGTTCTATTCATCAAAGAGCAAGAGCTGGGTTAATAATAGCATATTATGATAAAAAAAATCTTTCCATTGTGTGTTTTGCACTAGTTTAGACTGCAGAACAGCATAAATTTGTATTGCAGTGCATCACATAGAATTTTATCACATCATTATGCAATCAGTTTTTCCTTGCGTGTCTCTATTTTGAAGGTCATTCCACCTTGTTTACAGGTGAGGAAAGTGGATATGCTTGATGGTGTGACTATCCTTCGTTCTGAGAAGGTCAAGGATGAGCTTATTCTTGATGGCAATGATATCGAGCTTGTCTCACGATCTGCTGCTTTGATAAATCAGGTTAGCTTGTTTGACCTTTGAATATGTTAGGCATGCATTAAGAGGAAATTTGACTGTTAGTATATACACCACTTGCTTATTAATTGTGGGAGAGCCAACATGCTCAGAGCTGGTTCCCAGATTCTAGTGGAATTTCCCATCTTATATTCAGGGGTTAATTGCATATAACACCGCCTTTTACTATAAGATGTAGCCATTTATGCCCCCTAAACCACCACCCCTTTGAAGTCCAGATGACGTTGTTTTCCAAGTTAGCTGAAAATGTCTAAAATGTCGTGATGATAAATTATCTTTATGTTCAGTTTAATGGGGAGAAAATACTTATTGCTCTCTAAATTGTGGGGGGAGTGAAACATCGTTTCAGATTCCAAGGGGTGTAAGTACTAAAAAAAAAGTTTAGGGAGTACAAGTGACTATTTCATCCTAATACAGGGTGTATATCCGCAATCAATCCTTTGGCTAAATATATTGCGGTAAAACGGTAAAGGGGAGAATGGAAGAGGATGGAAGATCCCTTACTTGGATATTGGGGCACTTAATTAGTTGCATCAGTTTCATGAAAGAACAATAATGCTAGGTTTTGCACCTCAATATATACATTTTGTGCATGCTGAAAGCAGTCCAGTTTACTATTTATTCTGTATCATCTCCGATCAATTTTTAAAACTTTTCCTACTCTTTTTTGTCATTAAACAGAAGTGCCATGTGAAGAACAAGGACATTAGGAAGTTTCTCGATGGTATTTATGTCAGTGAGAAGGGCACAATTGCTGAGGAGTAGTTATCCGTAAGTTTGATTTTGATGATTTCAGATATTTAGGGAAGGACCATCCATATTTACTATGCTATAAAATTCATTGTTGGGTTTTTGTGTCAGAATTCTGGCCCTCAGATATTTGTTAGCCTGTGGATGAAGGACAGTTCTCAGATAAGTTTTTTTGGATGATAGTATGTGTTTTTGAAATGTGATTGTTTGTCCTAATGCATGTAGTAGTCGATGCGCGAGATGCCTACTAAGGTTGACATAGGATTTATATATGATTTTATTGTTGAAGATGACTTGATTCATTCAGAGGGTGGCAAAAGCTAGTGTTGAGTTCTTTATAATTTGTGATTGTTATGCGTTTGGCTAAGAGCGCAGCTAGAGTAACAAATGATTTCATCATGTAGTTTNATGCTTGTCTGACTGACTTGGATGTCACCACAATATCCAATGAACATGTATTTTGAAATTTTGGATTTAGTTGAGACGGTATTATTGACCGAGTTGCTGGGATTTCCGTGATATAGTGAAAACATGGCTGAAATCATCAACAGATTTAGGGGTGAGCACTGATCGGTTTGAACTGATTAAAGCTGATTGAACCTATCGAAGTTGAACTAGTTAAAGTTGATCAAACCTGTTGAATTCGGACGGTTCGGTTTTGTTTGAGAGCATGTTTGGATTAAATAAATCTCAACCCAAGCTAACCATACTGACTGCTCTCCTGATTCTCTAGCTCTTAACACTCTTTTCGTCAGTTGGATCATAGATTTTTTTTTGTTTCCCGTTGATTTGCCTTGTATTCTTTTGTCCGTCACGTATTCCATGTATTTCTTAGATTTCTTCGTTCATATCTTACTTTGGAATGAAAAAAACTCTCTTTCTTTAATTTATTTGTGCATTCGACCAAACCAAAGCTCATTTGGTTTATTTTGGTCCGGTTCCAAATATAGCCCAGGATTCAGTTTGTTTAAAATTTAACAAAGCTCATTTGGTTTATTTTGCCCTTGTTTGTTTTTTCTCTTTGTGCTTGCAAACCCTTGAACTGAGGCCATAACCCCAACAAATTAAGGCCAAACACTACATGTTTTAACTTAATTAAGCCCGCGACGGAGAAGAGGAAAGCTGTTATGGGTAAAAAAAAAAGTAGTCATGCGATATTGTTACATGGCTCTTCATCGTTTTAAGCGTATGCGATATTGTTTGTACGGTACGCTACTCGGTTTGAAAATTGTTTCAAAGATGAAATACTCGGTCTTGGATTTGTGAACCTACTCCGAAGCTATGAATACTTAGCAATAATTGATATTGATGTTTATTTTCCATTTTCAACTAAAATTGTACAAATACTGCGTATTATACTCATCCTAAAAGAATTTTGAATATACTGTACGGAGGATAGCGAAGAATATTTGAGTCCGCTTCAATCTCCAAAGCGCGCCCTTGACAAAAAATTGTGCGAAGTGGGTGCTTCATGATAGATGTAAGCAGCCTCCGTCGCTCAATCACGGTACATTAGAATCTTTGCTTGCTCCACTAGCGCAATATCTATTTTTTTTAATTATTGGTATGATTTTTTTTTTCCTTCAATGGGAATGTAATCTGGATGAGCGTTCATTTTGCATAGTTATCTTGTCAAATCGCAATATACGATAGTTATAACCCAAAGAGCTTTGCTAGAGGGACTTAAAATATGAGACAAATATGGAGGACAAGTGAGGTGTTCCCCTCCTATTGCATAATAATCTGACTATCATTAATGATGATCAGATCATTATGCAATAGGAGGAGGACATCCCACTTGTCCCTCATGTTGGTCCTATATTTTGGGTCCTTGGGAAATTTTTCTTTCTGAAAAAAGGAAATTTATGATTTACAAGGTAACATGAAAGCCAAACAAAAGACTTTTTTTTATAATGAAGCTAGTTGGAATCAAACAGAAAACCGTGAGAACCGTGTTTGAACCTCTCAAACATCTGAGTCATCCACGGTGCTAAACAAAAGGCATTTGGGAAGCAAAATAGAACCCAAAATTTAGCGTTGACACTACTTTTGATAGATTATTTACCTTTTTATTTCATGATACCTTTATCTTGACGCAATCCATTATCTTTAATTCTTCATCCTAAATTAAATTTTTATGATCAAGTGCACGATTGTAGAGAGTGAGCATTAATGTAATCGAGACGCAACTTGTTGGAAAACGGGTGTAGACCCAAACCTGTCAGCGGAGAGCTTTCAGGCGAGCGCGAAGGCAAGGCGACCTCGTGTTCGATGTTCAGCAACCTTGACAGGCTTCAGGCGAGGTCCAGGTCAAGGCGAGCTCGAGATCGAAGTCACTGGCTGCAGGCGAGGTCCTCGACGACTTTCAAACGAGGTCGCGGCTGATTGTAGGCGAGCTCGAAGAGGGTCAACAGGCGAGGTCGACGCGAGATCTTGCAGGCGAGCTCGAGCGGAGCTGTCTGCAGGCGAGTCGACGCGGGC